TTTCTTTTTTCTTGATGAGTCTGGTTCAAGGTTTATCAATCTTATCTTTTCAAAAAACCAACTCTTGGTTTCATTGATCTTTTATACTTTTTTTATACTTTAGTTCATTTATTTCTTCTCTGATCGTTACTATTTCTTTTCTTCTACTCACTTTGGGCTTTGTTCTTTTTCTAGTTCCTTTAAGTATAAAGTTCGAGTGTTTGAGATTCTTCTTATTTCTTGAGGTAGACCTGTAATTCTATGAATTTCATTTTTAGGACCACTTTCACTTTGTCCCATCGATTTTTGGCTGTCATATATTCATTTTTATTTGTTTTAAGACATCTTCTGATTTCTTGCTTGATATTTTTGTTAACCCATTTAATTGTTTTATAACATGTTATTTAGCTTCCATGTTTTCGGTTTTTTTTCCTCGTGACTGATTTCCAGTTTCATATCATTATACCATCAGAGATGTTTGATATGATTATAATCTTAAATTTACCGAGACTTGTTTTGCATCCTAACATGTGGTCTATCTTAAAAAATGTTCCATGTGCACTTGAAGAGAATGTATATTCTGCTGCTTTGGGGTGACATGCTCTGAAGATATCAATTAAATCCTTTTGGTCTAGTGTGTCATTTAAGGTCTGTGTCCTTGTTGATTTTCTTTCCGGAAGATCTATCCATTGATCTCAATGTGGTGTTAAAATTCCCTGCTATGACTGTATTACTGTCAACCTTTCCCTTTATGTCCATTAAGATGTGCTTCACATATTTAGGTGCTCCTATGTTGAGTGAGTAAATGTTTACAAGGGTTCTAACCTCTTGTTGAATTGTTCCCTTTATCATTATGTAGTGTCCTTCTTTGTGTCTTACTATATCCTTTATTTTGAAGTCTACTTTGTCAGATATAAGTACTGCTACCCCTAGATTTTTTTCATTTCCTTTTGCATGAAGTTCTTTTTCCACCCCTTAACTTTATTTATTTATTTATTTAAGATTTTATTTATTTCTTTTTTAGAGAGTGGAAGGGAAGGAGAAAGAGGGCAAGAAACATCAATGTGTGGTTGCCTCTCATGCATCCCCCACTGTGGACCTGGCCTGCAACCCAGGCATGTGCCCTGACTGAGAATCAAACCAGTGATCCTTTGGTTTGCAGCCCACACTCAATCCACTGAGTTATATCAGCCAGGGCCAACCCCTTTACTTTTAGTCTGTGTGTATCTCTCATTCTAAGGTGGGTCTCTTGGAAACAACATATAAATGGGTCTTGTTTTCTTATCTGTTCAGCTACCCTATGTCTTTGGATTGAAGCATTTAAGCCATTTACATTTAAAGTTATTTTTGATAGGTATGTAATTATTGCCATTTTATTCCTTTAACTATGTTCATCTGTTCTTCTTCTCTTCTTCCTCCAAGCAGACTCTTTAATATTTCTTGTAATACAGGTTTGGTGGTAACAGACTCCTTTAGCTTTTTCTTGTCTGGGAAGATCTTTATTTGTCCTTCAATTTTAAATGATAGCCTTGCTGGGTAAAGTAGTCTTGGCTGTAGGTCCTTGCTTTTCATCACTTGTAATATCTCATGTCAATTCCTTCTGGCTTAAAATGTTTCTGTTAAGAAATCAGCTGACAGTCTTATAGAAGCATTCTTGTAAGTAGCTGTCTTTCTTTTGCTGCTTTTAAGATTCTCTCTTTGTCTTTACCCTTTGCCATTTTAATTATGAGGTGTCTTGATGTGGGCCTCTTTGGATTCATTTTGTTTGGAATTCTCACAGTTCCTGGACTTGTGTATGTTAAAACTTCACAAGGTTAGAAATATTTCCAGACATTTTTTTTTCAAATCGTTTTTCAATTCCTTGCTCTTTCTCTCCTCCTTCTGGTAACCCTATGATGCAGATGTTATTATACTTTATTTGTCCCAAAGGTCCCTTAAACTATCCTTATTTTTTAAAAATATTTTTTCTTTTTATTATTCTGATTGGGCATTTTGTGCTATCTTATCTTATAACCACTGATTCACTCCACTCCATCATCTAATCCACTGTTTATTCTTTCTAGTGTATCTTCATTTCAGATATTGCATTCTTCATTTCTGACTGGTTATTTTTAATGGTTTCTATGTCCCTTTTTATGTGTTCTTTCTTTTTCTGAAGTTCACACTAAGTTCCTTCAGTGTCCTTATAACCATTTTTTAAAACTCTGTATCTGGTAAACTTCTTGCCTCCACATCATTACCCACATTTTTCAGACTATAAGATGCATGCCCCCAAATTTGGGAGGAAAAGTGGGGTGCGTTTGTAGTCCAAATGTAGCTTACCTGGCTTGCTAGGGGGGTGGGCACCAACCTATGTTATTTGTTATTAAATATTTTACCACATTTTTTGCTTCAAAATTTTTTCCGTATTTTCCTCCTCTAAAACCTAGGTGCACCTTCCAGTCCAGAAAAATTTGGTAGGCTTTTTTCTGGAGATTTATTCTTTACTTTCATTTGGAGCACTTTTCTTGGTCTCCCCATTTTATTGGCCTTTTTGTGTTTGTTTCTATGTATTAGGTAGATCTGCTATGACTCCCAGTCTTGGAGTGACCTTATACAGTAGGTGTCCTGTGGGACCCAATGGCACAGTCCCCTTGATCACCTGAGCTGGGTTCTCCAGGAATGCCCCTTGTGTGGTTTATGTGACCCCTCCTCTTATAATTAAGTCTCGATTGCTGCTCGCCCATTCGTGTGTGGGGCTAGCCCTCAGGCAGCTGACTGCAAGGATTGACCTGACCAGTGTACATACTGCTGTGCAGGTGCTAACCACCCAAAATGGAATTTGCCTCAGCAGGGTCTGGTACCTGTAGAAATCTGCCTTGGATATTGCACCTTTGAAACTAATTGGATCCTGCTCTGATGTTGGGAGGAGCTCTGGTGCAAACCAATGTCAGATACTGCCTGTGACTGGCCCTGGGTAACCCATGTAGAGCTACAAAGGAATCCAGTTTGTGGCTGCCTCTGCTGGGCCTGGGTGTACACAGGGAAGACCAATCTGCACACCACAGCTTGCTTTTACTAGCACGGAACCCAGTAAAAGTTCAGCAAAAGTCCTAAAAGGCACCCCAAGATCCACTTCCACCTGTCTCCGCTTGCCTGCTAGACTCAGTCATTGAAAGAGACACTGACAGTGCTTAAGTTGAATGAGGTAGGTTCTTAGTGAGTCACCAGGTAGAGGCAAGTGGTGTTCACCAGACACAGGTTCAAACAGTGCCAGTGCTGGGTCTGAGGCCACTCAGCAAATGTCCCAGGGTATACCAACTCTAGCTCTCCCCTGCTGGGTACCCATAGACTTTGTGGTAGGGCAGGGTCTCAGAGAGTTATCAGGGTGAGGCCAACAGAGTTTATCAGGCTCAAGCTGATCAAGATCTGGCTCTGAGAAGGGAGAGCTCTGCACTGGTTGGGTGCGAGAGGGAAAAATGGCCACTGTCCTAGAGTCACACAACTCAGTCAGTTTAAGATCCTGACAGAAGCCCAAGCTCAGCAGGGCAGGGCTTACAGGAGTTGAGAGGGTGGGGCTAGTGGATCTTCTGTGAGAGGAAGGTGCTGGTCAGGCTTCGGGGAATGTGGTAGGAGTGGCTCCTGCCCCAGAGCCACACACTTAGTCTATCTTAGATTCTGCCCAGACCTCAGCAGGACGGGTCTACCAGAAGTTGGGAGGGTGGGGCTAGTATATCTCTCGTGAGGGGGTGGTGCTGGTTAGGTTCACAGGAAAGTGGGAGAAATATTGCCATACCCCAAAGACACATCACTCAGTCGCTCATACTCCTGAGTCTGCCCAGATCTCTACACCCTAGGTCAGACAGCTGACTCTTCAGCAGGAGGTGAGTCCATGGACGGGGTGACAGGGAATCCAGAGGATAGGCTATTGCATTCCCTCAGGCTGATGCTATAAGGAGGGGAGTGCTCCACCCAAGAAAGATGGTGTCTGCAGTGTCGGAGACTCAGCACCAGTGGTCTTGGTAGCTATCCCTTCAGCTTTCTCCCCAGAGCCACAAACCCGTCTCTTCTCACATGGCTCTAGTCTGCTCTGCCCTACCTCTGCCTTAGCCCAGGGAGAGTGGCTGCAACCGAGATTTTATGTGTTGGGACTTCATAAGGGCACTGTGTCTTGAGCAGACTCATCTCTCCTTGGCAGACAGAATCCCTGCTGATTTTCATAGCGATGTTATGTGGTGTGCCTCTCCCTACCTGGCTCCAGTGGTCTGAACTGGGGAGCCCAGTGTTGAGACCCCACACTCCTCAGGGGGAACTTTTGCAGCTAAGATATCCCTCTTGAATCTTAGCTGCTGCCCATGGGAGCAGGGTCAGTCCTTTTTGCATCTCTACCCTCCTACCAGTCTCGATGTGGCTTCTTCTATAAATCCTTGGTTATAAGACTTCTGTTCAGATTATCTTCAGTTTGTTATTCTGGATGACTGTAGTATATTTTAGTTGTAATACCAGTGTGGTCCTGGGAGGCGGTGAGTGTAACATCCTACTCTGCTGTTATCTTGGATCTTATCCCACAAATTTTACATGCCATTAACACAGACAATAAAAATCTGAGTATATAAAATATCTAGGCAAATTCATAAAAAACAGAAAATAGATTAGATGTTACCAGGGACTAAGGAAGGGGAGATGGGAAGTTACTGCTTAATGTGTACAGAGTTTCCATGTGGGATTATGAAAAAGTTTGGAAATACATAGTTGTGATGGTTATACACATTACCACTTAGTTGTACCCTTAAAAATGGAAAATACTAAATTTTATGTATTTTACCATAGTAAATAAAACATTTTTGACCATGTGTCATTTATTACTTATTAAAAACTAATAAAGAGAAATTATAGTTAATTTGGGATTCTACTTCCTTTGTATGAAAGAGTTCACTAATTCTGATCACAAATGTGATATAAATATCCAAAGTTGTTCTTTTCAGAAAAGAAATTTGGAAATCATAAAATATGAGCAAGAAAAAAATACCCAGAAAATACAGTCAAAACAAACTTCTTACTTTAATTGGTTCAGGCTGCATCACAGGTGCAGGCATAGCAATGGCACTTGGTGCATAAACCTGGTGATATGTTGCTTGAACTCCATGATCAGAATAAGGCTATTAAAAAAAAGAAAAGAAATGTATTGCCTTTTATTTATCAATTCAAAATATTTATTCAGCATTACAATGTACTAGGCATTTTACTACATAATAGAGAAACACATGTGAAAAACACATCCCCTATCTTTAACTTATAAACTGATCAGATACAGACAAGTAGTCAAAATTACCAGCAGTCCCATGAGACATGTATAAGGATGGACAGGAGAAAAGAATTACTTGATTTAGCTTAAGAAAGTTGTGGAGGTGATCAGAGAAAGTTTTCTAGCGCAGTTGAAGCTTGAATTTGAAGAACGAGGGAAAGAAGATGGGAACAGTATGCACAAAGGCATAGATAGAGGCAACCCAAAACACATCTTATTTGGAAGTTCTGCACAGGTTGTCTGATATGGCTAAAGAAGAACATACACTAAAAGATAGCTGAAAGATGAGATATTAGAGTAAAAGGTGGGGAACAGATCACATCAAAGCAGATTTTTGCCTTGTCCAATAGATGGTAGAACCATTTATTGAGACATGGAATACAAGAAAAGCAAGCTTGATGTTTATGTAAGTGTGTGTAAGGGGGTTGTAATATATAAAATTTGAGGTATTGGTAGGACTTCTAGTAGAGTTATACTGTTGATAGAAAGCTAATGGCTCTATCTAAAGTGGTTTCTACTTAGCAACTCACTCTATTAACTTACATTTTAACCTATGCCTTCTACCAGAAACAATATTAATAAAAGCACACGTATTATCACAGTATAAGATACAAGCTAATATAAGTAATAGCTCCAGAAAAATATTATTAGAGTATACTGATTTAATGATAATATTAGATTGTGTTTAAAAATCTATTGTAAAAGAATTCTTATTTCACTGCTCCTTCCTTAAAACCAGAAAACAACAAAACCCCCCCACCAAAGATAAATTAAAAAAAAATGCCATCATCAATTAAACAAGGAAATACCCATGATCTCCAAACCACAAACAATTTAGTATGTCTGACAAATGGTATGCAAATTTGGAGCCATATAAGGGAGGATTCTGAAGTCTCCTTAGACTTCAGGAAGAATAAAGGTTTGCCTAAAAATCAATGTTCTGAAAGACTTTTTTCAAAGAGTCTCAAGTGTAGGGGGTGTGTGTCGGGTCAATGCAGAAGCAGGGAATATCTCCACAGAGATCCAATTTTATATTATTTAATAGAAAGGGATGTGGAATTGAAGGATAAATCATATTTTCCTTGTTTCTGCTATCCACTGCCTTGCTTTATAGCTGAGGAACACTGCTGGAGGTGAAACAGGGTAAAGGTACAAAGGGAAGTAGCAATTACTACAACCCAATATAGAAAAGGATCCCCAGAATGCTAAAGACCAAGGGAAGAGCATTTCAAGCAGACTTAACAACACAGTAGAAAGAGGCTTTCAGACTACAGCTTGGTCCCCCCACCCTGTATTTTGAAAACTAGCTGGCCTCAGTTAAAGATTAATATAAAGGTGGAAAGGAAAAGCAAGCAACCCAAACATGAATACTGCCTCTTCTCCAACTCCATCAAAGAAAGAGAAAAGTTAAAGAAGATGAGAAATTATCCTAAAAAAGTAGAAAAATTCAGATAAATATAATTCTTTTGGATCTTAAATAAATTATAGTACCATGACCTCTAAAAAGGTGCCCCAAAAGAGATTTTGAGCCAACAGACATTTATAGACAGTGATGTAAGCAAAGTGACAGAGCTTGAGATAAAAAAGATTAAAAATGAAAGAGATGAAAGTCTCATTAGTCATAATAAAAACAGAATTAACATAATGAGAAATATAGTCATAGTTATTTTGAAAAAGCATATAAACCAACATAAAAAGTACCATGATGAAAAAATACCTTAGAGATGGTAGATATAAAAGACAAAAAAGACATCTAATATATGCATAATTTGTAGTATATTGTTTAAGTGCCCACTTTGTGGCACTGTGTTCCATCAGCCTTCTCAAACTAATACAAGTATCATGTAGCTGTTTTACAGCTAGTCTTTTTTCTTTGAGATTTATAGAAAAAAACAGTACTGGAATAAATTTTTTTCCAAAGCTCTAACAGAAAAAAAAAGGAAACAAAGACCCTTATTTAAAATCTAGTCAGAAAATCAAAAGGGCAAATGGTTTCCCAGGAAAAATATTATGAAGGCTCATAAATTCCAAGACATATTCTGGTGAAATGATTTCAAGTTAAGATGGACTTTTCAGGCACATAGGGAAAAAAAGCAAATTATTCACAAGAGGGAAAAATCAGGTGGGCTTTAAACTTTGTTACAGCTACATTCAACATCAGAAAAGACTATACTAGGAAGTTCTAAGAGAAAAAAGTATTGTTGTGGGTTGAACTCAAAACTTACAGGTATAAGTCCTAACCCCCAGTACATCAGTGTGACCTTATTTGGAGATAGGGTCTTTACAGAGGTAACCAAGTATGGTCCCTAGGATGGAACCTAACCAGTATGATTAGTATTATAAAAATAGAAAATTTGGACACAGAGACAGGAAAGATAATGTAATGACATGGGGAGAAGATGGCCATCTACAAGCCAAGAAGAGAGGGCTGGAACAGATCATTCCCCCCACAGCCCTTAAATAGAACCAATCCTACCAATGCCTTGATCCTGGCCTTCTAGCCTCCAGAACTGGAAGACAATAAATTTCTGTTATTTAAGCCACCCAGTTTATAGTACTTTGAAATCCTAGTAAAGGTATTTTTAGTAAATATTAAGATCCAACTATGGAATTTATTGTTCCATAACAAAATTATAATGTTATAAGCATTATCAATATAAAGATAATACAAAGCATTCAAATTAGGAGGTGCGTACTAATTTCCTAATCTTTCAAAACATTGATTTAAAACATACCATGTGCAGTTCATAGCACATAAATGGGAAGGTTATTAGTAATGTTGAGGAATATAATTTAAAGACACAAACAACAGATGATATTTAGCATTTGTAGTTATAAAATAGATGTGATTTATTTTTTTGAAGGGAGAATTTTAAAAACATTTTTTCTTGACTTAATTTTTATATGCTTTTAATTGACAGAATGTTAGCAACAATATAGATTAACAGACAAATCAGAAGAAAAAGTAGCTGGTATCTTACTCTTTCTTAACATAAAGCATTTTAGATATAAAAAGGGGAAGAGAGGTGAATAAATCAAATGGGACATAAGATATACAGCTTCAGTGAGGGTCTTCAGCAAATATTTTTAGAAAAGAAAAAAATAAACTTAAGATGAGGTAGTAGAGATGAATTACTTTGAGACTAATACATACCTCTGGAATTGAAGCTTCCATCAGAGACAGTGGAGGAGGAACACATCCTCCATCTTGTGCAATTTCCACTGGTTGATAAAAAACCTCAGATGGTTGTAGGTATAGGAATGGAGCAGAAGAGGCAGTAGACTGAAACACACAACCACAGTTCTAATTCAAATATAATTAGTTATTTCGATTAAACCAAGTGACTTACCCAATAGATGAGAGAATTATTTGCTTCATATTTTCCTAAAGTTCTTTTTCAGGGATGGCACAGAAGTATCTCAGCAACAAATTAGAGACTCTGGTTGTTACAAATTCTAGTTGTGTAGATGTCATTAAAGAATCTATCACTAGTAAGTACTGAAAGTTTCCAGGGCTTCAGAACCTCATATATAAATTCAGATAATTATATTAAGATAATTATTAAAGGTTTTACTAATATAACTTATGGTATATAAATTGGCATAAATGTCTATTCTCAGCTTTGTGACTTCCCATGTAAGTGGGAAATATCAAAAAAGAGTGAACAATCTTTTGGTGGTATACTATTTGTTATCAAAGTTGGGAGATGGAATACTTATTTAGGAGCATAAGTCAAGCAAAATCTGAAGTGAGGACAGAAAAATGTTAAAGTTTCTAATAATACTGTGCCTGGCTGGTGTAGCTCAGTGTATTGAGCATGGGCTGTGAACCAAAGGGTCGCTAGTTCAATTCCCAGTCAGGGCACATGCCTGGTTTGTGGGCCAGGTCCCTAGTAAGGGGTGAAGGAGAGGCAAACGCACACTGATATAAAAAGTTATAATACTGATAGGAAAAGATGAAATTTTTCATGTTTATATGAAGCTCATTCATTTATAAAATGCTTTCACTTACATGGCCGTGTGATCTTCACAAAAATCACATGAGGAAACTTACAAAGGTATATAGTAGTGTCATTACTTCCATTTCACAAATGAGGAAGCTGAGAAATACAGTAATAAACTGCCAAAGGTATCACAGTTAATAATAAAAGAGAAAGGTCTCTAATCTAGTTCTCCTGACTTTAATATTCATGCAGTCTTCACAACGGCACAGTGAAAAAAGTTAATATTTACCTGGGGAATACCCCACTGCCACTGACCTGGTAGACACTGTGCAGGGGCCTAAAATGAAAGAAAAAAAAAAAGACCCTGCAGATTATAAACAAGGGTTAAAAACTGGATATCTGTATGCCAAAGAATGGAGTTGAACCCCTATACCTCACCAATATAAAAATTAACTTAAAATGGATCTGAGATCAAAATGAAGAGCTAGAACTAGAAAACTACTAAAAGAAAATAAGTATAAATCTTTGTGACTTTGAATCAGGCAAATCTGAAAAACTATGACATCAAAAGCACAAACAGAGCAAGAAAAGATAAATTGGACTTCATCAAAATTAAAATCAATGATGTGTTGTTAGCAAGGATGTAAAGATACTAGAATTCTCATAAATTTCTGGTAGGTGTGTAAAATAATCCAGCCCTTTTGGTAAAGAGTATGACATTAAAAGGTTAAACACAGAAATACCATATGACTCAGCAATTGCACTCTGAGGTGTAAGACCTAAGAGAGATAAAAACATGTCTGCACAACAACTTGTACACAAATGTTCACAATGGCATTATTTATAAATCACAAAAAGTAAAAACAATTCAAATGTCCCTCATCTGGTGAATAAAAAAACATGTCTCTGGCTGGTGTGGCTCAGTGGATTGAGTGCCAGTCTTTGGACCAAAGTGTTGCTGTTCAATTCCCAGTCAGAGCACGTGCCTGGATTGTGGGCCAGGCCCCCAGTTTGGGGCATACAAGAGGCAGCCGATTGATGTATCTCTCTCACATTGTTGTTTCTCTCCCTCTCTTCCTTTCTCCTTCTCCCCCCCCTCTAAATAAATAAATAAATAAATAAATAAAATCTTTAAAAAATGTAGTATATCTACATAATGGAATATTATTCAGCCATTAAAGGGAATGAAATACTGATACATACCATCACATGGACAACTGTGAAAACATTATGCTAGGTTAAAGAACAGTCACAAAAGACCACATATTTTATTTTATTTATTTTGGGGAGGTATCAAATGATATTTTTATTTTGAATGTTGATGTATGAAGAAAATTATTTTAATCAAAGGGGTAAGAAAAGGTAGGTATAAATTTTGGGAGGGACATTTTCCTACATTTACTCACTTGAAGAATTTAATGTTTATAAAGAATGACTTTTCCAAACTGACAATTTTAAGGACATAAAACATTAATTTTCTTTGGCCACTAATTAAGGAAAACACCCAAATAAAGGGAAAATAATAAACTAACAGAATAAAAATAGACATTATTAATGATACTTACCTGGGAAGAAAAGACATTTTTTATTTTGTATGTTTTTATTTTGTAACTTTTTTATTGTTGTGCAAGTACAGTTGTCTCCATTTTCCTCCCACCACTTTTCCCCCACCCCAGCTGTCCCTACTCCCCACCCCTGATCCTACCCCGCTTTAAGACCACATATGTAAAATGTCCAGGATAAGCAAATATATAAAGATAGAAAGTAGATTACTGGTGGACTTGAGCTGTGGGGTAGAGAGAAAGAAGAGTGACTGCTAATGGGTAATGTTTTTGTGTTTGTGGGGTGATTAAAATGTTCTAAAATTGCAGTATGGTTGCACAACTGAATTTAGTAAGAAACCACTCTTGTATAAATAAGTGAATTACATAGTATATGAATTATATCTAAATAAAGCTGTTATTTTAAAAAAAGAAGGTCACCTTATTTAAGGCACTTATTGCAAGATGACAATATAGAAGATAGACTTTTTAAAAATTAGTTGTTCTATTTCTTAATGATAAATGTTTTAGTCTTTATTTGCCACTTCTATCAAGGCTTAGCTATCTAATTTTAATTGCTAGACTAATTTGCATGAGAAACAATAAGATGACAGTTACCCCAAAAAGGACTGAAATTATCAAGGAGGATTTTCACTCTAATTTAATGTTTACCTGGTAGTGATATGCAGATTGTTGATAAACAGGCTGAGCTACCATCACAGGGGAACTTGATATAGAACGTGACTAGAAGAGAAAAAAAATGAAAAAATTATTTTAGGCAAAATTCTTTAAAATAGTTTAGGTAAAATTTATCTCAAATTGTTACCTAAACCCAGTCTATAGTTTATGACTGAAAATGTCAGTTTTCTTTCTTTCTTTTTTTTGGTGGCCCGTATGGGGAACAAATCATTTTTCCATCTTTTATTGATACTACCAACTTCACTTAAATTTATTTAAAATCATCATAGTATTCCTACTTCTATGTTGTTTCATTTTTTATAATAATGCTAAAACAACCACCAGAAAATTTGCTTTTAGACCAAATACTATGAAAATATAGGTCTAGGGGAATATTCAGAGAAAATGGTGGGTGGACTTAAGATGACACTGCCTCCTTCCACTGTAGAGACCAGCAGTAGACAGTGTTTACAAAGCATTTAGAACTAAATGGATACTGATAGTTGATTTTGCCACTGATTTCCTACTACTTAAAAATAATCAATATCCTATTTCCTTATTACATTTAATTAAAACATACATCATTTATTAAAGCATTTGTCAAATTCTACTTTATTAATTTGACATTTAAATGAATTAATCATCCAATAAAACTTACAAATGATTTATCTGAAGAAAGTATATTTGTCTGACACTCAATTATTCAAAGCAATAGAGTAAACCTCAAGTTTAAAACCAGATCATTAATAAAACAGGTAAGTTGTAGTATAAGATAGGTAAAATAGGCTTTAATGATACCAATTAATATTTATTTTCTCACAATCTAATTTATGCTTTTTTAATGTTCACCCCTGAAACTAAAGAAAAGTATCTTAGTTTTGCACGATTTGCAAACTATCATATGCTGCCAAAATTGCACCACAGGGACTTCCAGCTAAGATGGAGGCATAGGTAGACACACTGTGCCTCCTCGCACAACAAAGATAGGGACAATAATAATTTAGAAACAGAGTAACAACCAGAACTGACAGAAAATTGAACTGTATGGAAGTTGGACAACCAAGAAGTTAAAATAGACCTGTTCATCCAGACCCATAGTGGGGGATGGCGTCAGGCAGCTGGGCACGGGTTTCAGCATAGAGAGCAGAAAGTCTTGGGACCGGGTGTCTAAGGTATCCGGGGCGCGCAAGACCACAGCGGGTGGACCCTGGGTGCACATGCAGCAGCTAGCAGACCCCGGCCGAGGGGTGGCAACTGGCAGACCCAGTGAGGCTGCGACTGTGAAGCAAGGCACTGCCTAGAGCCTTGGGGCACTGACTGAAAACACCTGTGGGGGTTGAGGTGCAGGGACTCCCAGCCTCACAGGAGAGGTCCTTGGAAAGTCCCAAGGGGTGCACAAGCCCACCCACACAGGAGTTGGCACCAGAGGGGCCCAGTTTGCTTGGGGGAAGTGGTGGAGGGGATTGAGGTCTGACAGAGAGCAGAGCAAATGCCATTGTTTCCTCTTGGACCCCACCCCCACATACAACGTCACAACCCAGCGACTGTTGTGTCCCGCCTGGGTGAACACCTAAGGCTCCGCCCCTCGAATGTAATAGGCACAACCAGCCCAAAGGGGAGGGGAAAGATGGCTCAAACAGAACTGAAAGCCCCAGAACCACTACTTTTAAGTGACTAAGAGATAGCCAACCTATCAGATGCATAGTTCAAAGCACTGGTAATCAAGATGCTCACAGAACTGGTTGATTTTGGTCACAAATTAGATGAAAAAATGAAGGCTACAATAAGAGAAATGAAGGAAAATGCACAGGGAACCAATAGTGATGGGAAGGAACTGGGACTCAAAACAATAGAGTGGACCAGAAGGAAGAAAAAAACAACCAAACAGAAAAGAACGGAAAAACAAGAATTCAAAAAAATTAGGAGAAGCTTAGGAACCTCCAGGACATCTTTAAACATTCCAATATCTGACTTACAGGGGTAGCAGAAGGAGAAGAGGAAGAGCAACAAGTGGAAATGTTATTTGAACAAATAATAAAGGAGAACTTCCTCAATCTGGCAAGGGAAATAGACTTTCAGGAAGTCCAGGAAGCTCAGAGTCCCGAAGAAGCTGGACCCAAGGAGGAACACACCAAGACACATCATAATTACATTAGCCAAGGTAAAAATGAAGGAGAGAATCCTAGAAGCAGCAAGAAATAAGGGGACAGTCATCTACAAAGGAGTTCCCATCAGACTATCAGCTGATTTCTCAAAAGAGACCTTACAGGCAAGAAGGGGCTGGAAAGAAGTATTCCAAGTCATGAAAGGCAAGGACCTACATCCAAGATTGCTCTATCCAACAAAGCTTTCATTTAGAATGGAAGGGCAGATCAAGTGCTTCTCAGATAAGGTCAAGTTAAAGGAGTTCATCATCACCAAGCCCTTCTTTTATGAAATGTTAAAGGGACTTATGTAAGAAAAAAAAGATAAAAAACATGTATAGTAAAAGGACAGCAAACTCACAATTATTAACAACCACACGTAAAACAAAAACAAAAACAAATTAAGCAAACAAGTAGAACAGGAACAGAACCACAGAAATGGAGAACACATGGAGGGTTAACAACAGGAGAGTGGGAGGAGGAGAGAGGGGTAAAAGGTACAGAGAATAAGTAGCATAGATGGTAGGTAAAAAATAGACAGTGGGAGGGCAAGAATAGTATGGGAAATGTAGAAGCTAAAGAACTTCTGACACATGGACATGAACTAAAGGGGGGGAATGTGGGTGGGAGAGTGTATGCAGGGGAATGAAGGGGGGTAATGGGACAACTGTTACAGCATAAGTAATAAAATATATTTTAAAAAATTCCACCACAGATTAACATCAGAAAATAATAATATAATTTACCATTAGATTAAAGGAGGAGAAAAATATCACAATCTTGGCAGATACAAAAAGCATTTGTTAAATTCAATAGCCTTTCGTGATAAAAAATCTTTAGCAAACAGAATAAAAAGAAACTTCCTTAACTGATTTGGGGCATTAATTCTGTTTTTTTTTTTAAATTTTATTTATTTTTAGAGAGAGGGTAAGAGAGGGAGAGAAACATCGATGTGTGAGAGATACATTAATCAGTTGCCTCTTACATGCATCACCCTAACTGGGGACCAGACCTGCAACCCAGGCACATGCTCTGACTAGGAATCAAACTGGTGACTCTTTGGTTTGGGTTATGATGCCCAACCCAATGAGTAACCTTGGTCAGGGCGGGACATTGATTCTTAACCAGGTGTGACTTTTTCCCTGTAGGGAACATTTGGCAATATTTTTGGTTTTCATACATGTAGGGAGGCTAGGATACTGCTAAACATCCTACAATATATAGGACAGCCTCCTACAACAAAGAATCATCTGGCCCAATATGTCAATAGTTCTGAGGTTGAGGAACCCTAGTTAAAAGCAAGGGTATCTTTCAAAACCTACATTGTGTACAATATTAACGGTGAATCACTGAACTTGTTTTTCTCTTTCAAGAACAAGGTCATTGTGTTATTGCATAAATAACAATGGGAAAAAAATGAGAAACAACAAGAAGAAAAAGAGGTATGCTGCACCATAAATGATTGTTTCTATGAAAGTTTGGCAGTTTAAACATCAACATTTAAAAAATTAAAAAGTATTACTACACACCAGTCACAATGTATTAGAAAATATGATTAAAAATTATACACCACTCGCCCTGGCTGGTGTAGCTCAGTGGACTGAGCACAGGCTGTGAACCAAAGGGTCGGTGGTTCGATTCCCAGTCAGGGCACATGCCTGGGTTGCGGGCCAGGACCCCAGTGGGGGCCATGTGAGAGGCAACCACACACTGATATTTCTCCCTTTCTCCCTTCCTTCCCCTCTCTCTAAAAGTAAATAAATAAAATCTTAAAAAAATTATACACCACTCATAAAAAGCAACAAAAACCACAGAGTACCTCAGAATAAATCCAATTAAAAATGTGTCAAAAAACTTTTTTTGGAGAAAGAAAATATGATTGATGTGTGGAAATAAAAGAATACCTAAATAAGTGTTCACTAATAAAAAAATTTAATATTCCAAAATGTTCCAAATTAATCTATATATTTAATCTAATTCTAATAAAAACCCAACAAAGGCTTGTCACAGAACTGAACAAGCTGAATCATAAAATTTACATTTATACAAACAAAGACTTAGAGATAGACGAGAGACTCCTGAAGAGCAAAGTGAGGCAACTGCCCTATCAGATTTCATAATAAAGCAGCAGGAATTAAGACAGAATTTGGCAAGGCAGAAAAATACACCAATAGAACAGAGCAGAGAGCTCAGAAAGAGACCCACACATGAAAACTTGGCATTTGATAGAGGATTCATTTCAAAACAACAGAGGATAAGAGATATGTCAACACATAAAGTCCATATTTAAGACCTAGATGTGAAAAACAGGATTTAAAAAATAAAATATAAAGTATCTATATTCTTGAAATAAAGATAAAAGACACTAAATGCTAAAACCATAAAGAAAAACATGAATACATTTGTCAATATTAACACAAAAAACCTATGTATGACAAAACAATCATAAAGTTAATGAACAAGCCACAAACTAGAAGATATTTACAAAATTCATATACTAAACTCAAGAAAAAGACAATCACAATAGAAAAACAGACAAAGAATATGCAGAGGCAGCTCACAGAAGAAACTGGAATGGCCAATAAATATATGAAAATATGTTCAATCTTACCAATGATTAGACAAATGAAAAGTAAAACAAGATACCATTTCATAATAATATTGGCAAAAATATAAAAATCTAGTGAACTAAAGGACTGGCAGATTATGGACAGATTGATGCTCTTATAAACTGTTAGCTAAAGTATAACTATTTGGCAACATCTACTCAAAGATGTGTACGTTTTATGAATTTAAAATTCTACTCTATGTGTACACTCCAGCATACATCAAGGTAGTGGAACATAACAATTTTCCAGTGGTACGAATTAGTTTAAAAGTGTTAAGTTTTCAGATGTAAATTTCCTACGTATTTCCTGATTTGATCTGTGAATATGTTGGTGTGCAATTAATTCTTATTTTCAAACTCCCCTTTTACAATTACCCCTTTGCTTTATTATTAAAGGCACCCTTTCTCACTTTTTCTGGATCTTGCTATAGTGCTTTGTTCTGGAATGTAAACACCAACAGAGCATCAAACAAACAGACAATTCAAAAAGGTAATGTTCTTGAGAAATAGTAGAGAACAAAGCAGAAAGATCTTGGATAGGAAATATTAAAGGAGAGATACATTATTTCATCCTGTGAAAAAAATAAATTTCATGATGGTTAAAGGGATACATATTAACTCATTTATTTGAACTTAAAACTAAAATCAGGATTTTAACACAGAAAATAAGTTTGATTAGCTGGTATTATTTGGTTGACTAGTTTTGTTAACTGGGTTATATAAAATACATTTTACATACTTCCTTTTTCCTTTTTTAAAAATTGAGGTATAACTGACATATAACATTATATTAGTTTCCAGTATAAAACATAATGATTCAATGTGAAAAACAGTATTTTAAAAATAAAATATAAAGGAAATCACTGCAATAAGTCTAATTAACATCCATCACCATACATAGGACGTTTTCTATTCTTAAACAAAATCTACAAAGTTTTATAAAACTGTATCTAAAGCAAATCAATACTATATGCCTAAACTATTTAAAATTATGATAAATTTCAGGTATCAACTTAAAAATGAGTATTCATAATTTTTTAAAAAATTTAGAGGATATATAAGCAAAAAACTTCTAAGACTACTGTCTTAAACTCTCATGTTACATACAAGATTTGGATGTTCATTTTAATCTTGATTGTAGAGAAAACTTAAATAGTCCCTCAATTAGGGAATATATAATCATACAATAGAATTATAAAATTTTTAAATAAGTGAACTAGATATACTAGAATCAACATTGTTTAATCTCAAAAACTTATTTATATAGTGTTTAAAAACCACCCAAAACAATACTATATATTAAGCATATCTACGTTTGTAAAAACATAAAATAAACAGGAAAGATATTCTGGTTACCTCTGAGGAGGTAAAGAGGGTAAGAGAATGGGGACAAGGAGACGTTATCTGAATTTACTATATTTTATTCTTCCCATTAAAAAAACTTAAAAATGACAAATTGTTAACATATACTAAGCATGAATGGTAGCTACACAGTTATTATATTACTATTTGAACTTGTTTGTAGTTGACATATTTCAGGAATAAAATAAATATTTTAAAAATTGATAGTAATAGATGAAAACCCTTCTAAAATAAGATTACTTACAGGCCAAGGTGGTGGGACAGAAGTTACCTCTGGACTATGAAAATAAGCTACACCATTATGATAAGTGTAAGGATATCCAGTTGAAGTTGTTAGATACATTGTTCCAGCTGCTGGCATTATACTCGAACCTAAAGATTAAATAATAATAACTGAAATGTTAAATTTAACTTTTACAATGTAATTTTGAACACTGAAAATATTTACCTTAACACACCTATATAGCTACAGTAAAAATTGCATGTTATTTTTTAGTTCCATATGTTTTCATATCTTTGAAGTATATATTTTCAGACTTACTACCTTAGAGCTTTTGTTTGTGTAAGGTGAATAAAAAGAGACAAGTTTAATAAGGAATGCTAAAATTTCACCAATGAAGGTTTTAATATAAGTAAAATAGAACACAAAGCTTAACTATTTAAATTATCAGCAAAGTCATCATTTTTACAAATGTAAATGATATACAATTTATTTACTACACAGACACTGAAGTGAAGTTCTTAAGACTTTAGTAAGGCCTTTTATTTGTAAAAGGCCACAGATGAGGGAAACAGTGAAGTTGGAGAAGATTCTACTTTCTTAAAGACATTTTGGTTCCACCCTACAAATTTTTGGATCTATTCCAAATAAGCATTCATTCATGTTATGACTTTCTTTTATGCTCTTAATTTTCCTTTGCTACAACTACTGCTATTGCAAACATGACCACAAATCTTCATGTGGCTAGTTTTAGGTCCCCATCACTTTCTCAGGCCAAGTTACATATATTCCTCCCCACAAAATTTTAAAAAATATATGTATTTTTTTTGTCCAGGAGGATACTTTAAAAATTTAGATTAGCCAAGTTAGATTAAGTACTTGAACTGGATCCTACTTCCACTATACCAGTGCTTCTCAAGATATGACATACGTTAAGAGCTACCTTTGCAGCTTACTAGAACACAAATTTCAGGGCCCATCTCCAAATATTTTGATTCATTAAGTCTGAGATAGGGCCTGAGGAATTGCATTTGACAGATCCCAAATGAACAGCTGCTGGCTGTATACCGCGCTGTGAGCAGTACTGGCCTACCACTTTAAGTAGCACTGCTACTTCTTGGTTTTTATATTTTCACTGCATTTCATCTAGTATTGCTTATTTTAGTGATTCTCAATTTGATCCTTTTGAGATTCTGATGAAAGCCACATACATTCAAACAAAACTCTGTACACAATTCAGGAAATGCATGGATTTCCTTCCCTTTCATCTCACTTTGAGTTCTATTACAAGGCTTTGAAATAGTCCCTGGTGAAACAGTCAAAAGGAAAAAAATGTGACGTGAAATCCCATGCCATAGCCTGTATTCATAGAGGTTCTGGTGGGAAGATAGTCATTAGCTAATTACACAATTGATTAATTAAATACAATTTTGATAAATATGTGAAGAGGAAGTACAGGGTATTATACTGGGTAATACAGGGTATTAGGGTGAACATTTAATATATATATGTGTGTACATGGAGCACTTTTGAGGAAATGATGCTTGTACTGAGATTTAAAAAATGAATGGGATGGGAATGAGATGGTAGAGTATTTTAGGTAAAGGAAACAGTATTTCAGGAGTATGGTATATTCTGAAACTGAGAGGATAGATGGCTAAAGCATGAAAAGGAAAGAATAACTCAAAATAAGCAGAGAATAACATGACAAAATACACACTTCTGAAGATCACTCATGTCTGCCTTGTGTATGATGGGTTGGAAGGTAGCAAAATTAGGTTTAGAGATATCAATTAGAAGGCTTTTCCAGTAATCAAGATAAGCCAAGTGGGTAGCTGGAACTAGAAATGTTGGTAATGGGGATGGGAAAAAAAGTGACAGATTTGAAATCATTTGAGATAAGAATCTCTTTTATTTTATAAATGTACTTTTAATACTTACTATTTCTTTGTAGAAAAGTAAAAAAGAGCTTTGGAGTCAAATAGTACTGGATTCGAAGGCTAAAGCATACCATAAAGTCAAACTACTGGATTTTGAAGTCTAAAGCATACTATTTGGTTAACCCTACTCTTTTCAAACTTGGGCATGGGATGCTATACCAGGGAAATATAGCAAAAAAAGGCATATGGTAAATAAGATGATCTTCCTATAGAATCAGTTTTATTCAAATAATTATTTTTAGGACATATTTTAATATTAAAGAATACAATATTATGAAACAGAATGCAAATTATGAATGATACACTTTTACATAGAACATGAGACTTTAAAGAAAATGTGGAATTCTGGTATGCTACATTGGGTTAAGACCCACAACATGCCAAGATTAATTCTCCTCTACATTTAAGAGTATTTCAGCAGGAATGTTTCTAAAACAATGACTTTACCTTTCTAAGACTGAATTTTCTATTTATAAAATAGAGCGAATAATATCTCATGGGTTGCTGTAAAGATTAAATGAAATAAATAAAAACCTGGAACACTGACCCCTGCACTGAATAGTTCTTAAATTATTTATCTCTTTGAAAGCATTTGCCATAGTTCCAACTGATGTTCTATTTTTAGTATTTTGTGGGTCATAATATGAACATAATATGAACTTGTACCTACCACTAGGGATAATGGGCTTCTAAAGAATCATTACTACATGGTACAGCTTAACTCTTGCAACTAACAATGGTAGTTCAAAAATATTCAGTATTGTTCCATATTTGGTGCTTTCCATTTTGAATTATCAACCTACAGAGGACACTTCAGTTATCTTCTACATCAGTGGTCCCCACCCTTTTTGGCACCAGGGACCAGTTTTGTGGAAGACAATTTTTCCATGGACTGGGGTTGGGGTATGGTTTCTGAATGATTCAAGTGCATTGCATTTACTGGGCACCTTATTTCTATTATTATTACATTGTAATATATAATGAAATAATTATATAACTCACCATAATGCAGAAGCAGTGGGAACCCTGAGCTTGTTTTCCTGCAACTAGACAGTCCCACTTGGGGGTGATGGGAGAAGTGACACCCAAAGTGTGTTGCTTATGTCCAGTGTACTCCGTAATCTCGTTTTGGTTGCTATCACTACAGAAAACCCTGCTTTACAAAGATAGGATATTGGCAATGGAAGTGGGCTTTTCAGTGCTTTTGTGGCAATCTCAGGATAGTCTGTCTTAACTATAATCCAGAAAGTATGGAGATTTGAAGTTGGTTCAAACATACTTTTATAAAAAATTTCTCTAGGTTTTCTTTTTCCTCTGAAATTTTTTTTTTTGTTGTTGTTTCAAACATACTTTTAAGGCTACCATCATTTTCGATCTTAAACAGTTGATCCTCTTCTAGCATGGACAAAGTTGAGTCACCTGGCTTATTTCCAAATGGGTTGTGGATCCATTCCTTCCCAGTTCAGGAATCTTTTGTGGTTGGGAAGTAATGCTCTTTTGAAAGCTAAGGCAGGTAGGTGATCACGCACCAGCTGGGAGAAGGAAGGCCCCGGCTCAGTCTCTTTCAAAATCTCTGCTGATGTTTGAAACATGTCAAAAATCCCAATGTTCACTTGTCACCCCTATAATTTCAGTTTGGCTTTGAATGCAGCCACTTTATCTACCAACTTGAACAAGGTTGTCATTTTCCCCTGAAGTGACAGATTGAGTTCACTGAACAGGTTGAATATACCATGCAAGTAAGCAAGTTTTGTGACCCATTCTGTGTCCCTGAAATGTGCTGCCAGTGGTGACTGTTTTTCTAAAAGAAATGCCTGGAGCAGCTCTTGTAGCTCAAAAACTCTGACCAGTGATCCACCTTTAGAAAGCCTCTCACCTCTGTGTAAAAGAGAAGGCGCATGTGCTCTGCATCTATCTCCTCACTGAGTTGTGCGAACAGATGTGAGTTCAGGGCATGTACTTTAATGTGGTTGATAATTTTAATCACATACCGCAAAATGTTGTTATGTTCAAGTGACATTTTTCTGTAGCCAGAATTTCTCTATGGAGGACACAGTGGGTAGATTCACATTCAGAAGTGACCTCTTTGACCTGAGTACTGAAACCAGAAAGCTGTCCAGTCATGGCAGCTGCTCCATCCATGTATATACTGACACAAAATGACCAGCTCAGTTTTCCTAACATGTAATCAAAGACTTGAATAGTTCTGTAGCTGTGGTGTTGGTTGGCAACAAAATTGCACATAACATATCCTCATGCACATCCTCCTGAAAGTATACTGCACAAAAACAAGCACTGTGGCCTTGCTGTCAACAGTGGTAGACTCATCAACCTGGATTGCATACCACAGTGACTCATTAATTCTAACAATTGTGCCTCAACTTCCTCTGCTACTTCATCAATTTGTCTAGTTAAGGTGTTAGCTGAAAGAGGAACATGTGCCACCTTTTGAACTGCAGCCTCTCCTAAAAGTTCATGACAAATGTCCTTAGCAGCACGCAGGATCAACTCTTCAACAACAGTAAAGGGCTTAGCTTTAGCAGTGTGGTTAGCCACGAAGAATGATGCTCTCAGTGCAGACACATTTGATGAAGTGGTGGCCTTCAACAATTGCTTTTGTTCTTTGTGTTCACATTTTATCTTTTGAAAAACTCCAAAGACTTCTCTTTTAAAGCAGGGTGCTTGATCTCCATGTGGCAAAGCAGTTTTGAAGTCTTCATGGCTTCTTGGATAGCCAGGAGCCACATATTATACAAAGCGGGCTTGGAGAATGAATCACCTGTTGCAATGAACCTGTAATTTAAATAAGACTCTTGGTATTTTCTTTTAAATGCAGCTTTCTTCTTGTTGGCAGTCTTAGAGTCTTCTGCTGTCTCATCATTGGGTCTTTCCCCCTTTTCAAAGAAGTTCTCCAGCAATGTTTGCTTTTTACTCATTTTGGCTAGTGTCAGCATGTGGGCTTACCAAAACTGTGACTGAGACAAGTGCAGGAAAGAGGTGCTGACAGAGGTTGTAAATAAAATAGTGGGTAGGCCACATGCAGACTAAAATAAACGTCAGATTTTGACTTAAAGCCTGCCATCAGGTGCAGCCTAATCATCACTTGCAAGTCACTGATAGGATTTTGATTTCAGTCCTCAAGCAATTGATTTATGTCTCTGTGCAGTCGAACCTCTCTGCTAAAGATAATCTGTATTTGCAGCTGCTCCTCAGTGCTAGCATTGTTTCAGCTCCACCTCAGATTGTCAGGTATTAGATTCTCATAAAGAGCATACAACCTAGATCTCTCACATGCGCAGTTCACAGCAGGGTTCTTGCCCTTATGAGAATCTAATGCCCATGCTAATCTGACAGGAGGCAAAGCTCAGGCAGAATGTGAGTGGTGGGGAGTGGCTCTAAACACAAATGGAGCTTTGCTTGATTGCCCACTCTCACTTCCTTGTGGCCTGGTTTCTGACAGGCCATGGACTGGTACTAGGGTTGGGAAGCCCAGTTCTAAATTGATAAATACAATTTAGTCAAAATGAAACTTGATATCTGTTAACTTCTAAGTCAAAAACGTAACAGTCCAAATGAACAAAATCTATTAATTTGTTAACAGATGTATAATAGCTACCCAATGTTTTAAACATTCTAGTAGACACTAGCACAGAGATAAAGAATAAGAAAAAAATTTAGTTACTAATTTCATGTGAAGTTGCTCCTTCTAGCTGAAGACTCTGTGAGAGATTTTAATAAATATAGGTAAAAATAACCTGAACAATTCTTAAAACTTTAGGGACTGTTCCTTCAGATAATTATGATACATATGGTTGGGTTACAGAAAATACCATGCAACTGGAGTTTCTAATACTGGGTCTATATTTTAACTTTCAGTATCTTTACTCTAATTTTGAGTTAAGTTTTTTTCTAATAAGAAAATTTTCTAGTTAGTTGTTCTAAATTATCTCCAATTACTTTAGAAATTTTAAATTATATTTTAACATATTTTTCCTTTAAAGATGTAATTATGTGGAATATATTTAAGCATTATTATTCATGTAAATTTTCCCCTGACTTTGCCAAAGTAACTTTATTAAATGAAAGGTATCTAATATTTTAATGAAATTCTATAGAAAATCTAACATTTAAAAAAAGAACCACATAAAAATATTTAAAAATACGTTAGATGTCAATACATACGAGGGATCCCTACTTGTTGTTTTCTTATTGCTGGACCGATGTTTAGTTTCTTATCCTTATAATTAAGTTTTTCAGCCTACAATAAGAAAAAATAAATAATTTTATTATCTTGGCACTATTGCTTATACAAACCAATAAAAAATTAGTAAGAAACAATTTTTAAAATCCAGACATAACATTCTTTGATAGAAGCAAAGCAGCAGAAAGGGTAAAGTCTTTAGATTTAAACAGACTGGGGTCTGAATCTTGGTTCCAATGCTCTGACCCTAATTCCCCATCTAAAATCCAGTCAATCCTCTAGTCACGGAACTTTGGGAATTAACCTACTCATTAAAATTTATTTGTGATCCCAAAATCAATATTCATGGCAATTTAGTGGTTATTAGTCCACAAGAGCAGAGAGTTGAGAAATTTTGAGTTGCCTGAAACATATGGTCCCAACTGAGGTTAAAGAAGTGACAGTCTTATTTAGTTTTTATACTGTAAACAAATGTCCTTTTTGTGTTCTATATAGTGCCATGTGTTTTGCATTTTTGTCTTTATGTTGGTGATTTTGTTACTTACAACAGCTAAAGTGCTGATTAATGTTCTTAAGCATAAAAAGGCTGTCATGTGCCTTACAGAGAAAATGTGTCAGATGGCCTTAATTCAGGAATGAGGTCAATATTAATGAATCAATAATATATATTAAATATGTCTTTAAAAAGAAACACACGTAGAAACAAAGTTTTGTATTGACTGGTTGATGAAAATATGGTGAGTAAAAGCTTGTGAAAACCTAGCCCTGTATTTCTTCTGGAAACAGCAGTCCCATATTTGCTAACTAAGTATTTGTGGTGGCTATAGGACATTGCTACTACAAATAAGGAGAATTAATTGAGTAAAAATGATTTAATAATATACAATGCAAAATCCATTTTTTCTAAAAAATTAAATGTTACATTTGCCAAATTTAAAGTTGTTATACTGAATTGCAAACTACAGATTTTTTTCTATGAATGTTCTTAGTATATATAAAGATTTTCATAGGAGAAATATAATCTCAGACAACCTCATTCTAGGAATCTATATTTGCATTGTTTTTGAGGAATTCAAAGTGTTATTAACATTTCAGAAAGGGTGTATCTCCAAGTTCTTAGTTTAAGCAAATAAAATGAAAAATTATATTACAACTTCACAACCACACTCATGTAATATTTTAAAATTTATTTTTCTGCAGATTAAGTTTTTCTTTAATGTTTTTTATTAATTCATTTTTTACTGAGACCAGTGTCAATCGTGAGATGCAAATAAGTTAATTTTTTTAGCAACTGATCATTATACCAGAACCCTACTATTAAACAAATACCTCAAAAGATTATTTTCAAAGAAGTTCCAAAAATAAAATTAAATTCTTTATAAAATCTTACCTCCTGTAAAATTTTTTGTGCATCTTCTTGTGTTTCAAAAGTGACGAAACCATACCTATACAAGTAAATTAATTATTTTCTTAGAACATTACTTTAGAGGTATATTAAAATTTTGTTTTCTAAGAATGGGCCACTGTAGGAGTGAGCATTATTCTATGGTGCACCCACAGGCAAAACTTAGGGGAATTATTCACAGCCTAACACTATCACCTCCTCTTAGAGTAAGGGAACTAGAAAAAACAACAACAACTCAGGGATCTTGAAACAATTTCAGATCTGAGCTGTATAACGCAGAAAAGCATGATACATGTTATGGCTTATTAGGATGTAATAAATTTCAGTCCAGAGCAATAATCTCTTTAAAATAATAGAAGTTTGGCTTAAATATCAAAGTAAAAAAAAACCCTTTTAATTAAAAAATTTCAACACAATAAAAATTTTTACATTGGTAAAGGAGTATACAATGTATTACTTACTACTATGAGCACACATAACTTGATAATACACTTATTAGTATATTTCCCAAATTAAGTTAAAAATCTGTACAGCCTAGACTTTACTTCTACTTTTCATATATAATTGTTACCTTCAGAGTATGTTTCATATAATGCTCAAGATACAAATAAGAAAAAAAGCCAAACTAGGTAGACAAAAAGAAATGAGAGAAATAAAAAGCATATCCCTCCAAAACATAATTTCTGTTTAAGTAACTTCAGAAAACTCTTTGAGTAGTGCTATATGTATATCTTGATTATTTTCTTAAATTTATAACTACTATATTATATATAAAGTTTCTTTTTCTATTTGTCCAAACATTAAACAAGGGTTAAGGAAATATTTTTACAACAATTTTTTTTGGCAGAACACATACACCACCCAGTGGAAAAGGCATAAAATACAGTTTGTATGTATTTCTATGTGATTTTCAATGATTAAAAAATGAACATTACCAAAACACTGCAAACTTTATTAGCCAAACAAAATAAGTACTATCTCACTTTATCCTAATATTGTTCATCAGTCTGAGGAAATACTTCATTTGTTTACCCACTTGTCATATGTTGTTTCCCACTAACAGTTTTCCATCCACCTTATTGGTCCCTTCTCTTAAGCATATATATGTGTGTATAGACACACACACACACGCCTGTATATATGTTTGACTTGCCTCTCAAGAAAACAAATACAATGTTCCACTGATCTTTACTGCCTTAACCGTTTTCTTTAACTTTGCAGTCAAACTATGTAAACTTCGCTTTTCTTCTCTGCAATTTGGCTTTCACACGTACTAATCCACTGAAACAGTGCTAAGGTCATCAGACACTTCTAGACAAACTCTATTATTGCTTTCTTCTGAATTTTCATTCTCCTTGATTAACAAATGAAAATTATTCCTGAGTTATAGTTCTCAAATTAGTCTCTTAAGTCTCTGAGGCACAACTTACAGAGATTCCTTTGTGTCAACTCTTTTCAAATGAAGTTCTCTTTAGTCTAAATCAGGTATAAATTTCCAAAAGTATCTGATTCCTTTAGCTTCTAGTTGCTTAGCTATTGGACATTACCTAATCAACATTAAGCACCTGCTATATAACACTGAATAGTCCCTTAACACATGCAAAAATAACTTTCCAACAAATTAATAGTGCCCTTCTCCATCCAAAATACACAACAGAACAAAAAATAGGAGGGGGAAAAAAGCACAAAATTCTCTTTTTAAAAAATGGAACCAAAGTAAGCAAGCATACAAAACCTAGGAACCCAATAAAAATACAATTGTTAATTCTATGTACTATTTATAGAGATACTAACCCTTTAGACACTCCAGCTCTGTCATTTACAATCTTCACTTCTTTTACAGACCCATACTGGGAAAAAAATTTTCTTAAATCATTTTCATTTGTCTAATAGCATAGAAAGAAAACACAAAGAACATTTTTAACTGATAAAAGATAAAACAACTATTATGCTTGTTTTGGAGGCAGAAACATTTATAAATAAATAATATGAATATAATAATACTGCTCATTAAAACAGTACATGAAACCACTAGGTTATTAAAATCAATATATGTAAATGCTTTATGGAATAACTACATTGTTAAACATAGTTCAACAATAAAGTTTTAAGTTGAACTGTTCTAAAATGACAAAGAAAGCTCAGCATTTAAAGGAATTCTTATTTTCTAGTTGGCCAGTTTAAAAAAATAATTTGAATTACGCATGGCTATAGCTATAATAAGGACATACAGGTATCCCCCATTTTCTGAAAGTTTGCCTTACACTGCTGCTTTTATGGATGATGTACATTAGTTACTGTTTTAGCTAATGGAATAAAAATCAAAGAGGATTTTTGCTTTTACAAAAAAAATAGGCAAAAGTAAAAATAGCATTCAGCGTTTTTGCAGTGAGCCCTTCCAGAGGCAGCATGCAGCCTAAGCAAAAAGAGTGGCACTGTCAAGCGCCTTCCCCTGGAACTGCACTCAGCAGCTCAGCATCAAGCCACAAGAGCCTTGAACTGTGTCTGTGAGCATCTGTGCTTTATCTTGATTTATTTTGTGTATCCCTGAGCAAGATGTGTCCTACGGTATCAGAAAAACCCGAGAGCTTGTAAGGATGTTATGCTTAGCTTAAAACAGGACATAATTAAGTATATTTGGTATGACTTGGTAGGTTACTTTTGGGGTCTGGGAAACACTAAATAAAAACTTTTCCGTATGTAAATACTTCCTTCCTTTGTAACACTTCGGTTTACAAAAGGTTTCACAGGAATGCTCCAGTGTCAGAAAGTGGAGGAAACCTCTGTTACTGGAGAGGCCCATAGTCAAGGCAGTGAAACGAAGTTATCTTGGTCTACTAGCCACTATTTTAATCAGCCCAGTACCCAGGAAGAGTAATGTCCTAGGAAAAGAATGTTTTTCCAAAAGTACTGGGATTCAATTTGTGGTAACAATGAAGTAGCTACAAGATTTAAAGTTTCTAGATACTTTATCATACTTAATATACATTTCAGCTAAATACAGACATTATGGCAGTATTAAAAAAATTCCGAGTCATAATTACACAATAATGTACAACATGTCTACAAAGATGGGTTTGACATACTTGGTTTTAATTAGTCTCATAACAGACTAATATCACCTTTCCTAAACTATTTGTACTAAATTCATTGCAATTTCATTTGCTGGTGCAGCTATAATTGTTTGCTCCCAAGAGGAGTTTTAAATGTCCCTATAAAATTTTTCTTTACAGACATAGGTAAACACATGCCTAATGCCAAAGCTATGCCTTGAGTTCCACCGCTACTTTGCTACTTATACACATTATTGGCTTCTAGTTAGTATCCTAAAGCCTACTAAACTGGATGATGACAAATACTGAGTTAATCTAACAATAAATGAATGCTTTATTTATTTATTTATTTACTTGAGAAGGAAAGAGAGGGAGAAAGAGGAGAGAGACCTCGATGTGAGAGAGAAACATTGATGAGTTGCCTCTCGCACATGCCCTGACCAGGGAAGGAACCCACAGCCCAGGCACGTGCACTAACAAGAATCGAATCAGTGATTTTTTGATTTGTGGGACAATGCCCAACCAACTGAGCCACACTGGTTAGGGCTATATGAATGCCTGTTATTTCAGTAAGCACAAAATGGAATCAACGCCAGACTAAAGATTCTATTAGAGATTTGAAAACAAATGAATTCACTCTAATTTCTGGTAAAAAAATTAATAGCTCAATATTGCACCTTGACTTCATTGAAAAGTTAAGGAGACAGAAAGTCAAGATGACTAAATATTAAAGAGAGATGGGCTATAGGACAGTTTTCTAAAGAGAAAACTTTTAAATTAAAAAGTTTGAGGCTACTTGCTGATACATAAACTGCTTCATCGCAGACATTTATCTATGATTTTGGAAAAGGTGTATCATAAGGGAGGGAACTCTAGCAGTTACCCTAAAGCTATGACTGAATTGTAACAATGGCCTCCAAAATTCATTTTGTAGTTGTAGGTTTCAACTTTGAAACAAAGTTGTAGCTAAGTTAGAATAACCTAGCCATGTAAATATTTACATTTATTGATGATTTATTTTTTAAAAATATACTAAGTTGTTGTAATATAAATTCTGAACAGAAATAATTAACTTGAATATTTATTGTCTGCCATTAATATTTTCCAAAGAACTGGAAAATCTTTTTAAAAATAAGCATTTAATAAGAAATCCTTTTTTCTTTATTTTTAGTGAACCAATCATATAGTTGCTTAAGATTCATTTTGAAAAATACATTAAATGTAGTTATTTCTTTTTAGCAGGAAAAAAGTAATTCTATTCAAACTGTGACAGACTGATTATAGAGAAATAGCAAATTATAATGATCAAATATGATGCCCTAATGGCACAGGGTATTTTTTTTGCATTAAGAAAGACAACAACTCTAAACTGTAATTTCCAATACATAATATGAAAGCTTGAAAATCCTTCCATATATCTTGGAACTAAGGGCATATTCCACTTAAAATATCCATGCATGCCTTTTCTGTAGGTGTTCACTACTACCTCCAATATGGGGATGCTGCAAAACATCTCACAAAGTATGACTCTCTGAAATAGCTTATATGTTATTTGAATATATTACTGTGGAGATGCTTTATTCTGGCAAGATCACAGGGCTGATTTGGTTATCAAATTTTAAATTAGTTGTTAGAAAGCAATTTGCAAGAGATGGAAGTCTAGGAGTTTACTCAGGAATCTGAAATAAAAGTTGGGATAAAGAAACAGGATTTCACAGGACTAAATTTTGTGTGTGTGTGTTTTTGAGTCTTCTTTTGCAAATTATAATCACATTATTTGGGTTACTGGAATATTATGCAACAAAATATAATTAGTGTGGTATGGTGAAATGAAGACTATGGAGCTATGAGTCAGAAAACTGGAACTCTTGTCTTTACTCTTTCACTCAACTAAGAGCCTATACACAAGTCAATGAGCCTCAATTTCCATGTATGTGAAACTGAACAATTACATATACTTTATTTAGCCTCTATTGTTTCTGAAAATATTCTTTACATTAAGACAATTTGAAACCTATTAATCACTGTACAAATAGCAAACATGTTATTATTTTTATAGTTGTACAAGAAAACAATTCCTGAGAAATAAAATAACTTCTAATGCAAAAACCACACCATGTTATATGCATAAATAGGTACCTTAAAGTCAATTCCTCCTACAAAGATGCGATTAGGAATCACTGTTCCATATCTTGGGGCACTTGTTGGGTTATTCAAAGGCACAGGTGACACAGGATTAGGGGATGAAGATAATGAATCTGTTTGCGTCTGATTTGATGTTTGCTGTAAAATAAAATTCTTTTAAACTTTTAGCACTGGATATAACTTTTGATGCAAGCTGAAAACATGTTTTTTCAAAAAGATAAATAATTTAATATGTATTACAGACTTTAATTTTATTCTAATTTATGAAGATTATAATTAAAGCTAGTAACTTTAGGGGTGACATAAAGATACGAAATGTAGACTCCACTACAGGGAAAAACATATTATTTAACATACTTATCTTAATTATTATTAAGTATGCTATTTAATATTATAAATATTAAGGAGGAATATTAAACTCAAAAAGAAGTTTGAGAAAGAGAAAAACAGCCCTGGAAAGCTAGGAGCTGGCTTGGTGAAACCATCTGGGTCCTGGTGGTGTTAGGAGTTGGCCTAGAACTCATAGGTAGGCTGTGGCATTCTCTTGTTAACAGAACACCAAAAACAGACAAGGCTATTCCATGACTGTGATGGATCAGGATAAAAATAAGACCATACCACAATCATACCTGAACACTGGCAAAAACAAAAGCACTGTCCAAACCACAAGAATGACCAAATAAATATCCCTCTATTCTGGCTTAAATGAGTGACTATTCCTTCTTGATCTATCACTGCTTTAGCCTTGATCTATTTTTCTTGTCTACAAGAATTAACATACCAATCATACAATTACTCCTATATTCTGACAACTTGCATTTCAAAGTAAAGCCCTTCTTCCTTAAACCTTCCATAAAAAAATGCTTACAAGCCTAAATCCTTTAAGTTCTCTCTAACATTGTCTTGCTGACAGGCCCCTTAGTGTATGCCCTAGGAGGGGCAACAATTCAACAGACCCAACTTTATTAAACCACAAGTGTGTTCTTGGTGATCTTTGGCTAAAGAATATTGACAAATTAATGAACACTGACATTTAAATTCACTGTTTTTCAGCTAACATAAAATTTTAATTTTTAAAAATTATTTTTTATTAATCCTCACCTGAGAATATGTTCATTGACTTGGGAGAGATAGGGAGGGAGGCAGGGAGGAAGAGAGGTGGGGAGGGAGGGAGGGAGGGAGAGAAAGAGATATGAAAGAAAACCATGGTTTGGTTGCCTCCCGGATGCGCCCCAATGGGGGATCAAACCCAAAACCTAGGTATATGCCCTAATCGGGACTCGAACTTGCAACCTCTTTGTATATGGGACAACGCTCCAACCAACTGAATCACCCAGCAAGGGCTAACATTGGGATTTTTAAGTGCACTTGTCAGTTTCAAGATTTGACTGATTTCATAAAAAATTATATACCTGTAACTTGTAAGTATACGTTTTTATACCAACGACTTGAACTAGTGTATATCCATATACTCAGAATTCTAAATCAGGAGACCTAATTTAGATTTTAACAAATATATATTAATATATGAGCCTTTGCACAATGGCAAGAGAGCAGATTCTTAAGGTACCTCTAAAAAAAGATTTGAGAATAGAATTTTGAAGAGAAACCAGTGCAAGAGTGTTGCTAACTATTTTCCTTCTAGGAACACTAAACAGACTTCTGGGACAGTCCAACATACTAAATAAGTGTTTTGAAAAGCTTGAAGTTCATAATTTCAATTCTCTGAGAAACAAATACATGAAAATGAATTTCAATTTAGATAATGGAATTGTTCTTTTTTGTATTGGTTCTCCGCTTTCTCTCATTAGCCAACAAAACCATCATCTCTAAATTAATTTCTGCAAGATGTACAAATGTCTAGGCGAGTGGTGACTGTGAGGCTATAGGCTGAACCTTATGGGTTCTATTCTCCATCTAGTCTTAAGGGGGGAAAAACATGCTTTCTAATAAAGGAGTTCATAAAAACATTTATTAAACCACAGAAAAATCATCACATTTACTAATTACTATGTTGTTTGCAATTAGAGAAATTTGGAGTCCAATTTTTTCAGCATCCTCTCTGGGCATTTGAAGGTTATTTGTAACTTCAGTGACTTTACTTGTAGGGCATAGTGCCCAGAATAGAAGGTCCTGGGATGCTCAGTTTTATTTTTCAATTGTATATTTGTATTGTTAGAAATAATAGAATAGTAGATATAACCTTGTCTCTCTGCCTGTTTACAGTATAGAAATCACCTATTTGCAATAAAAAAATCTTCATAAAAACAATGTTCAATGGAAGAGCTCATTTGTTCTCACATTTGTTTAAATAAAAGTGAACCTGATTATTTTTTTTTCACTGAAAGAGGGATGACATGAACAGAAGTGAACAAAGTGCTTTATTTCCAATCGTGGGAAATTATGATACTGAGAGAAGAAAAACATCAACTTTTTACACCCAATACAATTCATTCTCCAGTTTCTAAGGCTCCTGCTATATTGTATGTTCCAACTGCTTTTTCTCGTTACCACTCATCACTTTGCAACATAATATATAATTTACTTAGCTTTACTCTTTCCTATAATGTAATGATCATGAGGGAAAGGGTTTTGCCTGTTTTGTTCACTGCAGCCTTTAAAGTACTGATGGTACATAGCAGGGATTCAGTAAATATTTGTAGAATGAATGAATAATCAAATGAATCATTTCTTCTTGATCACGACATGCTAACCAGTAGTCAGCAGGCTTTAGAATACAGTATGAATAATAGCCTACAAAACATTTTAATGTTAGTAGTAACAAGTTTCAGGTAGAGGCAACACCTAAGCTCCCTAGAGAAGCATAGCAATGCAGAGTTGAACACAAATGCCTCAAATTCGGCTGGCAATAATTTTGCAAATGTACGAAAACCACCTATACTAAGTAATTAGATGGGTCCTTAGCTTAGTAAAACTCCAGCACTGGTGAGTTTATTAAAAATCTCCTCCAAAGTAATGTGCCTTCACTACCTCCACCCTTTGAGAATTAATCTCGAAATCTATCATCTACTTTGCCAACAAAGACAACAGGAAGAGGGCGGGCTAACCGACGCAGTCACGGCCTCGAAGCTCCTTCCCCTCCGAGGCCAGCAAGTTGAGGCGCTGGAGGAAATGGCGGCAGAGACAACTTCCTCGGGTTCTCTTGGGTCATCGTGAATTTGGGAACTGACACGAGGATCCACCCCCTCCCCACCACAGTGCGGGAGGGAAAAAAAGGCTAACCAGCGAGAAATTTTGCCCCACAAACCCGCCAGCAGCCTTGGCGGGAACCCTCAACGGCACCGACCCGACGCCTCGTGCGTAGCTAACCCCACGCCCTTGCGTAGCACGCGCTGATTGGCTGCTGGCGAGCACGGCTGCATGTTGCCATGGTCTGCACGGCCTCCTGCCCCTCCCCCCGCTTGGCCCAAACCCCTCGAGAGAGCGCTCAATGTTAATCCTCTAATCCTCATCTGACCTGGGCCACTGGCGCTCTCCTCCCAGAGTGCTCAGGCCTTCGAGTCCCCACTGAGCAGTTGGGGAGAAGAGGGGTCAGCCGCCCTGCCCACTCCTCGCAAAGGGAGGCTGGGCTGAGCCTGCCGAAGCGAGCGTCAAAGACGCAGCCGAGCCCACTTTCGGCGGGAAAGCTGTTTATCTGGCCTGGACCCAGTCTGGTGCACCGGGCCCTGCCACCCGCCGCCTCCCAAAATCTCAGCCGTTTCAGAGGTCCCCCAGCCCGACTATACCGCTTTTGGCCCAGTGGTCGCACCTTCCCGAACCCACGACACAATCCGAAGGGCCTTACGGGGCAGGCCGCTCTTCGTGCTGTTCTATGGGGACCCTGTCCACGTTTCTTCCCAACAAAATCGCAGGCGTTGGGCTCCAGACCTCGACCTTTCGGCCTCTCAGGGACGGAGCCCACTGTGCTCCTTGTCCCCGATACCCCGGGGCAAAGGACCCCTACCGCTGTACTCACCGCCCCAGACTCGCTCTCCATCTTCCTCTCTGCTCTTCAGAAACGTGGGGGAAAGGAACAGAAACCTAAAGTTTGAAAGCACCTTCGCACCAAGGAGGCTGCACCACGTTTCCCGACGGAGACTACCTCTGGCGGCGGCGGTGGCAGCTGCAGGAGCACAGGCTCGGACCCGGGGCCTGAACCTGCCACCCGGGGCGGGGTTGGGAGGTGGAGGGGAGGGGCAGCGAACGACGTCGCAGGCTGCAGGCGGGCGGGCGCGGTAAGCCGGGGTGGGGCGCGGGCGGGCTGGTTTCGGCGGTAGCCAGTCGTCGCGGAACTGGGCCGTCTCAGGGGCAGAGCGTGCAGCAAGTCGGAGTGGGCGTGGGCTGTGCGGATCGAGGGCTCGGTGCTGGGGCCGCTCTTGCCAGCTTTCGGACGGCCGGGAAGGAGAGAGCGAACGGTTATGCCAAACTCCATGCACCGGAAGCCTTTCCCTGTTCTCCCCTTTGGAGAAAAGTCGGCTTCAAGACTCCGTGGGTTTCGAGAGAGGTGACCTCAGGCTTTACTAAGGTGCGAGAGCCGGCTGAGGGGCGACGTCGTAAGGCTGTTTCAAGGCGAGGAAGGCAATTCCCATAGGCAAACTCTGACCCTCAGGGCCCGACGAGCCAAACTTAGGAGCGCCGGAGAAGCTCAGACACCGCGATGCACCTGTTGTCGCCGTCACTCACCCCGCAGAGCGGGCGGGGCAGGGCAGGGCAGAGCGGGCGGCTTCGTCAGGACTCGCCGCTCAGCCCAGCCTGGGTCCGGCGCCCGCCCTAGGCCGGTGCCCGCGCGGCTCCCGCGGGCCGGACCCAGCTGAGCACGCCAGTCCGCCGCACAGACTCGTGAGCCGGTCCACCACGAAGCTGCCGACGCACTGGAGAGGGTGAGGACTGGGAATCTTGGCTGGAGTGGCCAGTAGCCTTGGGGTCTCCTTTGAAAGACTGCTTTGTAAAAATTAGTTCTAAAACATAGCTGAGGATATGTTGTATTGGTGATACATACTATAATGCATAAACAAATTGTAAATAATTACTAAATAAATTTATGTAATAATGGTGGCTATTATAGCTACCATTTATCAAGACCTCACTTTGTGTCAGGCACAGTCCCTTATACTCAGTATATTTAATCACTTTATCCTCACAGCAACCCTTCAAATAGATACTCCCATGATCTTTATATTACAGGTGAGGAAGTGCAGATTTGTAGGCTAAGTAATCTTTGATCAAGATTTGTAGGCTAAGTAAATTGAAGATTTATAGGCTAAAGCTATAACAAATTTAACCTGGGGCCTCTCTGACAACAGTTCATGATCTTAACTAACCGTTTTGCCATATATTTTTAAAGAATCAGCAGCAATAATTGTTAAAAAAAACTACATCAGCTGTAACTTTTGTTCTCTCTATTGTAAAAGTTTGACTTTGGGTTATTTTACTTTTAAGATAAAATGTAAAAAAAAGCAGCGTGACTATATTTTAATCTGTTCAAAGATTAGCTCTTAATGTTATTTACCAAAAATAAAATGGAAACAACTTTTGTTAATTGAATACAGTTCAGCTAAAGCACCCTGAATGTCATTATACATTTCTGCATGCAATATAAGCTCAATTTTTCAAGCTTTTGTGTTTGTGGAAATAAAGAGTACAAACTGATTCTAATTAAAACACATTGTAGAGCAGAATAATTTTGCTGTTCAATACCATTGATCTTCTTTAGGTATTTTTCTAGAAGTAATGATGGATTTTATAAATATTACTATCCTCTCTTTTACCTGTCCTTTTCTTTTAAACTAAAAAGACTTATTTTTGAAGACTGTATTCACTACAGTAAGGTGTTCAAAAATTAATCAACAAAATTTAGGAAACAGCAACTTTATTTCAATGCCTTTGTTGAGTGCTGGGGGATATACTGTATATACAATATGGTAATTGTTTGTTATGCTTCTCTTTTAATTCTTACCCTAAAAGTAGTTTTTTACTTTAAAGCTTAGATAAATTATGTAAAACTATAAATTCAATTTAGTAAACATTTATAGAGTTCCTATTATGTGCAGTACATAACTCTATGCTATGGGAGATAAGAGAGTGAATAAGATCTCACCTCTGTCCTGGAGGTGTTTTCAGTCTAGAAGGGGAGGAAAGACTAATTACTCAAAATAATAATTATATCTAAAGTCATTGATAATAAATAAGATACAAGCAGAACAGGGTAATGTGACCTGTGCTCTGACATTTGTGGGAGCACAGAGGTCTGCATTGAAGCACCGTGTTCCGTGCTGGGAGGGGGCACCATGCATCACGGCTGGAATGCTGGTCTAGGTGGTGAGCTGGGAAGAAAGAGATCGAGCCCTTGTCATGTAGCCAGCATTAGGCTAGGCACATTCTTTTTTAATCTCCTTAGTTGTCACCCTCTTTCTCCCTGGAAATCGAAACCTTAGAGTGGTAAAAGTGACTTGTGTAGTCATGTTGCTATTAAGTGGTAGATGCAGTTTTCAAAACGTAGTTGTGTTTGACTGCATTACCCATGCACAGCGCACTCTGCCATGCTATTTGTACTATAGAATAAGGACTTAGAATTTTATTCTGGAGACCTTTGCCCATTGAAGGTTATTGAATTAGGAAGTTATATAATGAGAGTTAAAAGTTAGGAAGATAATTCTCAGATCAGAGAACAGTTTTTCAGGGACTGAAAACAATTAAATTAGGAGGATACTATGCTAGTGGCTGCAATGAGAATAAAATACTGGGAAAGGGTTAAGGAAAACTAGAAAGGAACTGGGACTGATGGGCATGGGTGATGATGGAGAGGGATCACGATCATTTGAAAGTGTCAAGTTTCAGATACTGAAGGTATAAAAGTACAACAGGTGACAAATAGCAGACTTAAATATCCCATTTTCTTATGTTTTGTGCTAGCATCCCGTTGTCTCTCATCTGTTTTCTTCACCTAGTCTGTTCAGAGCATAGTTACTGTTTCAGAGGTTTACTTAAGCCTGCCCTCCTTGCTTGCCTCCCCATACTGGCAGTTCTCTCGTTCCTGCCTCTTGAGTTTTCTAGCTACAGATTCCAACTCTTAATATCTATTCCAGGCAATGCTTTTCTTGATAACCCTTTAGATTTGTTCTCTAGCTTGTAAAACTAGGTAACCATTAGCATACTTCCTATGGACCAGCCTTTACTGTAAAGTCAGGGGAAATGGCAATAATTAAGACCTGGCTCTTGCTTTCCAGCAGCCTGTGGTCTAGTGGGAGAAAAATGCAAAGTTTATACACTCAATGTGCTAACTGTACCTGTAGAAGAGTTGCCAGGTATAGAGTTAGCCCAGATCAGGTTGTGACTTGACTTAGTAGGTAAAACACGAGAAGATCAATGTTTGGAAAATGCCTCTGCGTCCATTTTATTTCTTTCTTGTTTCCATGTCTATTGACCTATTGTTGTAATTTGGAGGATTTAGGTGCTTTCTTCTTCTCTATGATGTTTGAATATTTGAAATAGAGGTAGGGGGACAAGATTTGAAAAAATCTGCCTTAAGGAAGCAAAGAGTTATATTCAGATTTCCTTTTCCTCTACAGGGAACAAAATACTTACACTTAGAGAGGATGTTATGGAGATGGTAAAGAATAGAACAATATCTGACTTATTGGAAGATGCCTTGTAAAAAATTAATTGGCTTATTTGATTATGCTATATACTTTGAGCAACTACTTAGACACAAGAATATACAATAGAACCTACAGCACAGCACGAGATAGGAACTCAATAAATGTAGAATGAGATTAAATACAGAGACAATTGTCACCCCACTCTCAACTTTTTACCTTTCCTTCTGGACTGAGAGTGAAGAACAATCAATAAGTGCCAGAAAACCTTTTCTTCATTAATTCATGCAAGTATGATTTGACAATTATACACATTTTCAGTTGCTTTTTAGGGGAAGAACATATGTTTGCAACATCTCAGCTGCAGAATCCTTTAAATGTTCTCACTCTCAGATATTTCCTGGAGAGCAAGCAATACGACTATATACAGAAACAAGACATACTGTTACAGGGTGCAGCCAAGAGGGGGGACCCCAAATAGGCATTTGAAATGGGGTCCAGAACTCAAGGTGTCCAGGAGATTTTAAGGTGTCTTCACCCCTTCCCCCACAGGTGTGAGTTGGGGGAAGGGGCACACAGAGCAAGAGCATGCAGGGCAGCTTTGCAGCTAATCCATGGCATGGTCATTTAGCATACCTATAGCCTTTGCATGGTCACTTAGATATGCTAAATAGCTATGGCCATGCTCAAGGCCAGAGGGATGGAAAGGGACCTCCCCCCAAGATAGGACCTGGGGGGCAGGTCTCCTGAGTTACAGCACCTGCATGGGAGCTGGGAGAAGACTGGCTCCATGACATGGGGTGACACCTGCCCAGACCCACGATGGCAACCAGAAAAGCTGAAGAAGACAGCAGATTGAGGGCAAGTGTGCCCAAGTGTAGGAGGAGTCGGAAATGGGGCTGCAGAAGAAGATTGGCTCCATGACATGGGGTGACACCTGTCCAGACCCACGATGGTGACCAGAAAAGCTGGAGAAGACAGCAGCCATTGAGGGTGAACCATGCGCAGCCTTGAGAGAGAGAACCATGCAGCGGTGGAAGCGCAGAGAAGACTGCGGCCCTGAGAGAGTGAACCACGCGGCCTGGGCAGAGTGGAGACTCCTGTGTCCTTGGGAGAGAGGACCACACGCCTTTGCCAGAGTGGGGACCCCCACAGCTCTAGAATGGGGAACCACCACCTGGTTTTAGCAGAGATCCCAGCGACTCAGCGGAGGGTGCCGGGAACCCAGGGAGGTCTCTCAGTCGAGATGGAGTACTAACTGGGAAGAACCAGAGACCTGCTTGAGCCACGGACTTCTATTTCCTTTCCTGAAATACGGTACTCTGGACTGGGCAAAGGGGGAAGGGAGAAGGAAGGACTGTGTCTGTTTGTGGGTCTTTTAAGGGACTTTAGGATTTTTTGATAAAGACATTAGGTTACTACTTTAAGTTTGTATAGCATTAAATAAACATTTCCTTTCCTTTTCACGAATCTCTGGCATTGAGAGACGTCTTTCCTTGGGCGGCGGACATGACGGACCT